ATGCTCTTCCTGGGGAATATTGACATCAAATTTATGTCTCATAGATTTATTTTACCTATATTATAAAATTTATACCTTGTAAATTATTCTTTAAGTCTTGATAGATTTTCAGTGTGTTATCCTTTGATGTTTGTGTTTACAGAGTCACTTGTTGTTTGTGTTTACAGAATCCCTTGATGTTTGTGTTTACAGAATCCCTTGATGTTTGTGTTTACAGAGTCACTTGTTGTTTGTGTTTACAGAATCCCTTGATGTTTGTGTTTACAGAATCCCTTGATGTTTGTGTTTACAGAATCCCTTGATGTTTGTGTTTACAGAGTTCCTTGATGCTTGTGTTTACAGAGTCACTTGTTGTTTGTGTTTACAGAATCCCTTGATGTTTGTGTTTACAGAATCCCTTGATGTTTGTGTTTACAGAATCCCTTGATGTTTGTGTTTACAGAATCCCTTGATATTTGTGTTTATAGAATTCCTTGATGTTTGTGTTTACAGAATTCCTTGATGTTTGTGTTTACAGAATCCCTTGATGTTTGTGTTTACAGAATCCCTTGATGTTTGTGTTTACAGAATCCCTTGATGTTTGTGTTTATAGAATTCCTTGATGTTTGTGTTTACAGAATCCCTTGATGTTTGTGTTTACAGAATCCCTTGATGTTTGTGTTTACAGAATTCCTTGATGTTTGTGTTTACAGAGTCCCTTGATGTTTGTGTTTATAGAGTACCTCAGTAAACACAACATGTCAGGTACCTCTCCAACTGTTCTTCATTTTGTAAACAAACTTAGGACAGTGAGATTATCTTTAAGTACAAATTTAAGAAGACCTAAAAAAGCAATCACTTTATTAATTTAAGGACACAAATCTTCTCCCCTAATCAGTTAAAGTACAGTATAGTGTTAGCATAATTATGACGCCATGTTGGATGTTGTTATCAATGTTTCAGCTTAAGTCATTTACGAGGAAAATTCATCCAACAAACTTTTCAGAATCTGGGTATTAATCTAAGGTTAATATTGGAACAAATGTTTTCGATATTTTTAATGGAAAATTTTAATCCCTAGCGTGCGATAGTTTACGGAAAATAGTCGTCGTACTCAAGAGGTTAAGTTATCGTACTCAATGGGTTAAGTTATCGTACTCAAAGGGTTAAATTATAGTACTCAAGGGATTGGTCATCTTACACAAGGAGTTGGTGTTATTAATTAAGAAATTTCAGTGATAAATTTAACTAATAAAATCTAAGTACTCAAACTATCCAACCAGGAGCGAACTTGCAACAATGGTTTTAAATTGGACAAATTTAGATTTAGGCGCGAAATAGGTCAACATTGGTTTGGAAATTAGTGGACGAGTGGAACAAGTTACCAAATATCATTATTAACTCGAATACGCTGGATAGCTTCAAACATAGGTTGGATGGATATAATGAGCAATAGGGGTTGGGTGTAAATGGGACTGTCCAGTATGGGCCAATAGGCCCGCTGCAGTTTCCTCCATTCTTATGTTCTTATGTTCTTTAGTCATTAAAAGTGGCTTGTGAATAAAAATGTTCCTCCTATCTCTATCTCTCACTCCCTTCCTCTACCTCTCGCTCCCTCCCTCCTTCCTTCCCTCTTTCTATCCTGTTCCTGCCTCCCTCCCTCCTTCCTTCCCTCTTCCTATCCTGTTCCTGCCTCCCTCTCTCCTTATCCCTCTTTCCCTCCTTTTCCTACCCTGCCCCTCCCAGTTTCTTCTATAACCTCCCTTCCCCCTTCGTTACCTCTTTCTACCCTCTTCCTCCCTCCCTCCCTCCTTCCCCCCTTCCACTCGCCATCCTTTCCTTCCTCTACCCTATCCCCCTCTCTCTCCCTCTTCCATCTCTCCTTCCTTCCTCCCTATTCCTTCCCTCCCTCTCCTGTCCCTCCCTCTTCCATCTCTCCTTCCTTTCTTCCCTCTACCCTATCCCTCTCTCCCTCCCTCTTAGTTTCTTCTATACCCTTCCTCCCTCTGTGTGAGAGTCGTGGCAGCACCATTACCAACACCTGGGACACCCACGCCACAAATTAGAGAGCGAGGCAGCTCTCTCTCTCTCTCTCTCTCTCTCTCTCTCTCTCTCTCTCTCTCTCTCTCTCGTTTCACTAATTCCCTGTCGTAAGCAACAGAGCTAACAGCGTGGTAAGAGCAGTTCTATTGCCTCCTAGCTTCTAATTATAGCTGTCGTTAGCTGGTTAGACCACAAGCAAGACTGGGACGAGGTGTGACTAAGCCTACACATACGACACACATACATACAAACACCATCACCTAATCCCTCATATTCAGTAAGCACAGTATATATAATCCTTCACAAACAAATGGTACAAACAATTTTACCCTTCACAAACAAATGACATAATTGATTACAAAATAAATTACAAGAGAAAGTATTAAAATACATAATAATAATAATAATAATAATAATATTCATCGTTACGAAATGTAAAAAAAGAACTCGTGGCCACACAGCATCAGTGTCAGGGAGGCGTAGCTCATATCCAACCGTGATGAAGAAATATGAACTGAAACCAAAATTAAAAAGGAATTTTGTAATAATAATAATAATAATAATAATAATAATAATAAAAAAAATAATAATAATAAAAATAATTAACGGTTTATTGGAAGAGCATGGCAACCGGAAGGCTGAAAATATAAAATTACATAATTGGGGAATGGGTGTCTTGATATACAAACTTTGTGTGTGTGTGGTCCGTCCCTCTTAAGCTCTTCAAAAGTGTACAGTAGTGTACAGTACTTTCATTATCTCTGCTAATGACTGCCAAGAAAGATTAGAACATCTGCAACAGCCTGGTTTATACTACAGAGAGGTTAGGGGCGATTTAACCTAAGTTCATAAGCACCTCAAAGGTCAACACTCGGCCATCCGGAGTTTCTGGTATATCTCAGCACGCCACCCATGGCCGGGCCGGGCAGGGACTTCAACCCAGAACAGTGTTTTAGAGATACGCGCGTTACTCCTACACCATATTTTTAGGTGGTTCAACTTAGTGTTAACAAGACCAGTTTTAAACAAGCGTGTCACGCTCTCTGCCTGTGTTTTTACTTAAATGTCAACACTCGTCTTTATTTTCACCAACTAGAATCACAACAAGTGGTAGTGTGTGATCCGAGGTGGCAGTGATCGAAACTGTACTCGACTGTGCACCTGAGTTTGGATTTGAACCCTGGCTTGAACCCGCTTACATTAGTCTCTGCTCCGTCTAATCACGCGGCTTTCAATTCTTTCCAACTGGCTACTTTCTTTTGATGATCTCGTCTGTAAGACACCGAGGGCTGCAACAGAGCTACTGGAGGGCCGCAGGTTGTGCATCCCTGTTCTAAAGTATCAACTGTTTGTCTGTCATCCTCCAGGGCCACGTTGTTTACATTCTTTAGAGGCCCGACAATATCCTTGGTGCTCATTTTACTCCTGACGAAAGGACTTGGGATCTCTCTTAATACTTTGGGCCAATTGGCCATATTTGGGTCTGTTTTGTATATACTATATAATCGGCATGATGCCCTGTACTCCGCCATGTCTTCAAAAAAAAACTTCTTGCATGTTTCCCCTAGATCTGTGATTTATCCACCTGGTCTTACTCCCTCTTCTCTTTGTTTTCCTGTATATACATTCCTCTACTGTCAACTCAAGGATTTCCATGGAGTTGTGAACTGACTCGTCTCTGTCTGCCTCCTCTAACGATTTTCTCCCAATTAGTTATCTGTAGTTTGTCTTCCATATGCTAGTATTCCTCCTCAACTACTATCAAAGATTGTATTAGTATGTAGTGGTCGCTGGTTGGAATTAGTTTTTTTTTTCTTTTTCTTTTTTCTTTTTTACGGGGATTAGCCCACCCAGGCACAGGTCAACGACCCACACCGGGGCCTTGGGGGCGAAAATGTAATGATAATAATAATAATAATAATAATAATAATAATAATAATAATAATAATAATGAAATACAAAATGAAAAAAATCAAAAGTGAGACACAATATATATACAGTATGTTGTGTTGTCAATATTAAGAGAAACAATTGAGACCCTGCAATTGTGTGTAAATGAGGCAGAAAGTCAGATCAGCAACCTGCGACTTGGTCACAATTTTCGTGATGCCATGTGGAATGCATAAAGTTCATTTTCTTTTATTATTTGATGGCATACTGATCTAAATTACACAACCGATATTTGCCTCAAGAGGAAAGCAAGAAAATTGTGAGTGTTGGAACAATCTGCCAGAGAGTCTTGTGTCGGCACCGAGTGTGAGCTCATTCAGACCTGACTTGATCAACACTGGCGCAAGTATAAATGCATTTTGGGGCTAGTACATGTTTATTACTTGTCAACAGTGCACAACTGAGGCGTGACCGACCGCCCAAGCGACTAACAAGCCGATCAGTAGCAGAGGATAAAATAAGGTAGGGTAGTTCGGTCTTTGAAAGGTAAATGCAATTAAAGCATTGGTAAATCATTTATATTTGTAATATATCTTATAAAATGTTATTTATTCAACCCTGGTCGTCCCAAAGAACAGACTCACCGCCCAAATGGCGAGAAGAAGCTGATAGCGTTAGAAATGATGAATTAATACCTATTGCTGCACATGGTAACAGGGTACCAGTTTAACGTCCATTTTGCTATTCTTCAAATAACTTTCTCCACTAATGTAAGGTACTGTCCACGGTGACAGGCTTGCCTGCCTTTTGGGATTTTAATTTTCATGGTCATGTTGTTTCCATTAGCAAATAATAAATAAACACAAATATATTTTCTCCACAAGTAAAAGCGGGAGAGCACTTGCTAACAATTATTTCTGCTTTTTTACATTTAAAGTTTATTGACATAAATTTTATACATAGAATTTCTTTTCCGAAAATGAATTAAAATTTAATACATGCCCTTGAACATAAATCTATATAATCTAAAGTATTATGGTTGATGTATACAGTATACAGCAGATGTCCGTGTTTACATCGTGAGTAAGGCATCGTCGGAGTCAAGCTGCAGTAGTGGCTCACATACTTATTATCTTCACTAATAATAGTATAAATGCTCTCTGCAGTTACTAGTAGATTCAAACATTTCCTTTGGGGTAATTCTCATGTAAAAGAGACTCGTAAACGATCGTTGGAAGAGTAAGTAACGCGTTTAAGGTTTATGGAAGTGGTGTGTGGTGGGGGGTCCTCCACAAGGCGCCCCTCACTCTCACTGGCATTGTTAACGTGATATTGTTAATACTTTACTCTCACGGGAAAGAGTTCCGTGCATAGCAACTTCGGAATATTAACCAAGTGCCATTTTAGGGAAAGTTTTTGTAGAAGAAAACTTGGCAACAGCTTACAGTAAATAGCCGTTTTATGTCCTAACGGGAATTTAATATCCATAAGAGGTTTTGCTTCATATCTATGGTGATTTGAACGAATGGTTACCTTCATTTCTGTGGGGCGTGCTTATACAGTATATGAAGATAGGACCTCTTTAACACATTGCTCAACAACCAAAAAGCACCAAACCTAACCTAACCTAACCTAACCTGTTATGTTAGGTTCGTTGGTTTTCTACTTTAAAAAAATACTGCAACGAAAATTATTTCTTCCGATTAATATTGACGACTGACCTGCCGACAAGTTATTTGTTTTGGTGTTTATTTTCTTATTCTATTTTCATGAGTGAATACTGATATGGTTATCATTTCTTGTGTAAATGCTTCCTTTGGTAGATATTTAGGCACCTAAGGTGTGCAGTATGTTGTCTTCTCAGCAGTAATGCTGCGGTTTTATGTTAATGGTAGGCTAAGGTTGGGTTAAAAAAATGCACAAACTAAACTGTCCTCTATAAAACAGTTTTATATTAAGGTTAGGTTAGGTTAGGTTAGGTTTGGTTTGGTTTGGTTGGATTAAAAAAAAATCGTTTGCACAAACTATGAAAGTGTCTCTATAAAGCACAGTGAAAATGTGACGTTTTTATAATTGTTTACTGTGCTAATAATTACCTTTCTTCCAAAGTGAGTAGGACTTTAAAGATGAGGGAAAATCTGGGTTTAAAAAAAAAAAAAATTGAAAAGCCAACCTAACCTTTCCTAACTTAAATAAATAACCTATTAAACCAAAATTCTTTCCTTAATTATGTGATGGACGTGCATAAAAGGGAACCTACACAACCAAACATATTTACATCTGTTGGACATAATCTGGATAGGACCAAGATACAACGGATTTTCACAGGATTTTATATTCAGATCTCTTTCACGTGAGCTTCTCATTATCTAAAATGACCAATCAGAGGACAGTTCATATCTCTTCGGAGATTTATGCATGCGAGAAAAATTCATCTGGATGTATTCAGTCGTATTGTGGCTCCCTCATAACCTAATCCCCGATGAATTATTGTATTGTATTAAATTCCTGCTGTTCTGTTTACATAGAGAACAGTTGACCACCCAGTCAACCAACCAGGGAAGAAGCTGTTTATGTAATATAGTATAGAACTACTTTTTGTACAATACAGTACATGTGTTACTGTATTTTATATGCATTATGTACAATATTTAAGTGCTTCCCAAACAAAAAAATTCAGTATTGTGACAATTTATCTGGGCTAAAAATAATATATATATATTTTTTTGTATATTGTACGTATACCAAACAAGGTTCGGTATTGGGCGAGTTTTTCTTATTCGTTTTATACCGAAAAATTTGATACCGAACTGGCTACTAACTAATTGTTTCATTACAGATATCCAGCCGGAAAAACTGCATTATAATTTTTTTTCATGCCTAAATTGTGTGCCAGTGTTTATGGAATACAGTAATTACTAAAACTTAAGCAGATTACAACAAACCCTGTACATATTTATGCTTGTTAAGATAAATCCTTGAACCTTCAGGGGGGTTCCTGGGTTACGAACAGAACACATGCTATGTGCATACCGTACTTTCAGAACTGTTTAAAATACCACTATATCATAGCCTAAGTCCTTATATACATCTCAAATCACTTAATTCAAGAAAAAAGAAGAAATAGAATGACAAAATACAGTAAATGAAAGTAACAAATAAGTGATCAGGTAAATAAAATACTGTAAACTTCAAGTTTAGCCCCTTTTGTATCGGCTGGCATTCATAAGTCGGGGACCCCCTGTATTCCCTCTTTAGGGTACAGTACCTTCATGCTAGGAGTTAACATTTGGGAGTCCAGGCTTCCAGGTAATTATTTAATTTTTGGGTTTTTAGATTTCACACACACGTGACGACTGTGGGGCTTTGGGTTCAACTCCATGGAATTGCTGCCTCTAGAAGGTTGCTTAATCTTGACTTGACTATTAAATGGAATCTCATGGTCAAACTTTTTTTTTTTTAACAGAGGCTTCCTTTTTTTCAGAAAATGAATTTTTGACTGAGCCTTTGTTAAATATGAAGGAACAAGGCATGATAAGGAGAAATATGAGGAGAAAAAGGAAAAGAATAGACACAGTTGTGATCCCAGTGCAAGTTGAATGCCAAATATTGAGTACAGTATTATGTAACTTTGTAAGCACTTGTAGTTTTTAGGTATTTCCAGCTTTGGGGACCTGATGCCTATCTTGGCAAGATCATGTATAGTTAGGCAAGCCTAAGGCCGGTCACATACCAAAGTGACATATGTCCTCTTAACCTGTATGAAAAAATACCAAAGGGACTTGTAAGTACGTACTCTACAGCTCAAGTATTCTGGGTACTGTGTATATTGTACAGTACAGTACCTCAATTTATGATAGGGCTGTGTTCCTGAAAACCAATATCATAAACGTAATCATACTTATCCATTGATTAGCTGCCATTACATAAAAATTGGGAGATATGTTCTTCAAGGAAAAAAGTAACAAAAATGACATAAATACATTATTTTCATGCATAAAATTTTTAAATGCAGTATACAAAGGAAACTATTGACTGAGATAATTCTAAAACTATACCAATGGCCCTTGTCTTTTTGATGGTCTCAATGCACCTTACCACCTCCAACTTATCATCTAAAATGATGCAGGGTCTCTTACCACAAGGGGTATTGCTGCTGCTCATTTTACTTGCCAGTTTATCTCTGTACATGTCTAAATAAAGTAAATCACATGGAAAATACAAGAAATTGTTGGAGAAGAAATTGCTGGAGAGTTCTGTCAAAGTGTGGAGCTGGATTCAGAAGATTCTGTTGTCTTGCAAACAATTTCACTACAATATGCTTAGCCAGACAAACTGCTTAATTAGCCATGTGCATTATCCTCCAGGGTTCTCAGCAAACTTTTGGTCTAGAAAAACCCATTTTTAATTTTCTTGTTTGATCAGGATTGGTGGGTGAATTAAATAAGTTTTCCTGGGTAAAGATTCAGTGGCTGTGTTACATAGATATTCCACCTTGACTTATTCTCTGGTTAAGTCTGGAATGAAGTCTTTGTACCCTTGTCCCTATGATAGTTTTGGATAAGGTCTCAGACACCCCTCACCCCTCCTCTTTTGGCTGCTCAGGCATTTCTATGAGGCTGTGCAAAGGCTAGAGGATCTTGCTGAAGAGATTTCCCTTTAAGAAGTAGAGATGATGAGGTAAAAGTTTACAGGAGAAAGTGAATGTTTTCTCCTTTCTCTCACTGGCAGTGCTGGTGTTGGTTTAGCAATGGGTGATCATCTTAGGGGTGAGAGACAGGAAACTATTTCTCTGTTCGCTGAGAGGGTTGTGTCCGTTGATGCTACATTTTCTGTATTTCCTCGGGAAACTGGGGAGGAATTGTTTCTTGTTAATTTTTGTGATTCTGCAGAATTCTAGACTACGGGTTCCAAAGTAAGAAACTGAATTCTTAATGATATAGATTGGGCCTGAATTCTAAATATGTTAAATGTAGTCATAGGTTGAAGCACATTGATTGGACAGGCCCTTATAAGACAAGTATTAAACCTATACCCTTTCCACACTAACCTGGCCCGTAAGCCACACCTACAAATAGCTTATTGGTTCCCCTGAGCGTTTTACCTCCCCTCGGACTGCACTTATATTAGCTCGTATTTATATCGACCTTTTATGATAAGTATTTAAAATTGTCTAACATACTCTCTGAAGTACCTTGAAATTATTTTCATTTTGATAGTACAGATATTTAACATTATTTTAGATAATAACAGATCTGGTTACCAACTGTGAACACATTTAGTTTGGATTTTCTATGAACCAATCAGCTATTAGTATAGAAGAGGAGCGTGGCTTGTGGGTCAGGTGTGTGTGGAAATACTATATTTCATTATTTGAGGCAGAGAGGAGAGAGGGATTAGTACAGTATTCCCACATGGGTTAACAAATAAACCTTGGCTCTCATTTTGGAGGATGGAAGGTAGATTCCAGTCACCCATGAAGCTTCCCATAGCTATTACAAGAGCTGTCTAGTTATGGGCTCCTCTAGAAAATGGAATTTCTGGGTCAATTTATTTTTTATTTGAATAAAAGGGTAGCTATTTTGGTTATGTGATGATAAACATAAATATTATATACGTATATTGTATATTCAGTAAAGTTTAAAGAACAACAGTTCTTGGCTAAAGAACCATAAGCCAATACTGGATAGAGACTTTTTCATATTTAGCTCTTTGAGATGGATTGGCAGTAAACAGAGATCAGTTTTCATACAGGTCCTAGTAGTAGTAATATTAACAGTAATAGCACCATTAGTACAGTAGTAATATTATTGTAGTACAGTAGTAATATTATTTTAGTACAGTAGTAATATTATTGTAGTACAGTAGTAATATTATTGTAGTACTGTAGTAATATTATTGTAGTACTGTAGTAATATTATTGTAGTACAGTATTGGGGTAGTGGGTTTGAAAATTGGTTCATGAATTTTTCTGAAAATATGCTGTAAAGTGTCTTGTATCATCAATGGCTTTTGACAGTTTTTAATTATTCTTCCTTGAGTTGATATCTGAAAGAACTATAGAGTTTTAGGCTTTATATGTATGGAAAGAGAAATTTCAGTATGTACTATACAAAAGTTTCTGAAAAATGAATGGAAAGTAAAATGAGTAAAGCCATTTTGAATACAGGGAGTCCAAGTTATTTGGGTTCCATTCCTAAAAGTCAGTTCATACAACAATTATATAAATAATGCAGCAATTTTGCCATATAAGTCTCTGTAATAAGAGGGGTTAGGGTCCTAGCCAGTCTAGGTAGTTTACCTTTGTTGGTTAATCTTACAGTACATCTATGTCATGGCTCTTATTTCATCTTCTACTGTACACAACTTAAATTCTCCCCATGCCATACTTTAATGTTGTGTTAAATGTTCACACCTTAATATTCTGTAGTTGGTAGAAGGTGCTGGTAATATAATTGTATCTTTTTTGTTCCAGAGAGAGTGAAGAAGAAGAAAGTTCCGGGTTCGGTGAGGGAGAGCCGGCCCCAAAGAAAAGTCGTCTCCTCACCGTGAATCATGACCCACCAATAAACCGCTCCTGTAAGACATACAGTACCATATTATTTGTATCCCATATGGCTGAAGCAAGGACAGTAGTACTGTAATCCAATTAGATTAACCCCTTCACTACAGGGATGCCAGTTTTAATATTTTGATTTGGCTAAAGTCAGATGATTTTATTCAGCTTAAGGGGTTAATAAGGATGTATATTGGGGGCTTTGATTGTCATTTACAGTAGTCATTTAGTTTGGTGTAAGAATGTTCCAGATATATCTCAAAACAGTAGTACATACTGTACGTACAGCACTGTGTGTGGAATTACTGAACAATGCACATCTACAATATCCTAAGTCCAGTCTGCAGTAGTTATATTCTAATCGAATAAACACTGGAATGGCAACTATGCCACAAATATAAAATACCTGTAAGCTCAGTGGTGAGGCTGTAACCTTCATGAGGCGGGAAAAATGAAGTTGACCTTGGTCATATTTCCCGCCTCTGCTGACGGCTGTGTCAATGTGATTCTGGTGTTTTAAAATGTTAGTTTTTGCATCATGTAGTTTTACTGATACATAATTTGTCTTAGTGTGCCTTATTGTGGGTAAAAATAAGTGTACATTAAATGCATCCTCCGAAAGCATGAATTTGCTACTAGAGATTAACAGTTAATTCATGTATAACACTTCTGATAAACTTCCTACGCACTTATGATTGAAATAATGAATGTATGTATCTTTATATATTTAGCTAAATATCTTTCTCGTCAGAAACGGTCATCCCAGCGATTATGAATGAACTCATTTAGAAATACATCATTACTTCAGGATGGAATCGGACAGATTTGAAACCTCCAATCAGCTGTAAGTCTTGAGAAGGGGCCGGGGCATCTTTTATCGGCTGAGAAAAAACGCACTATAGATGGTTGTTTGGCATTCTAAGGCGGTCATGTTCGTGCCATAAAATTTTCTTAAGGCATATCCATACTTGGAGGAGGAATGGAAAAATGTCCTTTACTGTTTACTGTACTGTACTGGAATTTACTGTGTAAAGAGCAGATGGGAATGAGTCCAAAGGAGATTGAGTGAAGTGTACTTAATCCCTGAATATGGCAGAAAAGGTGTGTGACCTTAAAAAACAAAATAACAAAACTTATCACTATTTGACAAGATATGTTATGAGCTAATAACATGTCATTTGTTTCAGATTCGCAGATTGGCAGTAAATTCTGTGTGGGCATCACCAAGGTGTACTCTTTCATATCAGGTCTTTCATCTCCACTGTTCAGCTCAAAAGATATGACAGACTCACCAGATTCATCTGGCCAAAGTGTGAGTGTTTACCTCTAGCTTTTGTTTTACTTATAGATACTGTACAGTAAGCCCTCGGTATAATGGACACTGTATATAACAGAACCCTGTTATAATGGACACCATAAACCTATTGGACAGACCCTCGGGATAATAGACAGGTATCCGTCTGTTGTGTGATGGTTCTTTGCTGCATGAATACTAATTGGAAAACTATAATATTGTTCAGTATGTAATAAAGAATAACAGAAAATTTGAAAATTATGTTGAAATAATTGGGCAATAAACAACCATTATCACATGTGCATTTTTCTGATCATCACCACACTAGCTACTGTACGTGCTTCTTTATTCTGGGCTGCTTACCATACTCCTAGATCTTGCTACCAGGCTGAACAGGAAAATTTCCAACCATTCCCCACCTGTGAACTCTTATGTTATTTTTTGTAGATCACAATGAAAACCTGGACAAGATAAAACCACACAGGAAAAGGGAAACACTGGTACCCCGATTTACGCGGTCAATTAAATCCACGGGGTACCGCGTAAAACGAAAACCGCGTAAATGGAATAACAGAACATATGGGATTAATTCCAATAGAGACTGGCCCGACCCCCAAACTCCACTTTTTCAGACACAATACCTACGTTGTAGTAAAAATAACATCTTAATTTTATGATGGTATGCACACACAATTAATAATTATGAGAAATATCAATAATATTAGGTTTTTTAACACTTAAATTAGTAGAAAAGATGGCTGGGCACACGGGGATGGTGGGTTGGTTCCGAGGCAGAGGGCATATTATTGGCCCTCACCTATATCACTTGTATCAATTGTATCACTATCCACCACAGAGGCTTGCAGGGCCTCCTTGTCAAGCCCCTCAAAGTCCATATAAGTCCATATCCTCACTATCACTGACTTGGGCCGGCTGTGGTGGGTGGCAAGTACTCACCCCTGAAGATGTGAATTACACGAAAGCTCTTGGGAACTTCGTGTTTTCGTTTTCCTTGTGGTTATCAGCATATACCTGGATCATGTGCACCTACAGTGATTTACTTGCATATATATATATATATATATATATATATATATATATATATATATATATATATATATTTATTAATAAAGCATGGGGTAGACTCACATTTTTTATAAATTTGTTTCTGATAATTTTTTAGCGGATTTTCCCATTATTATTTATTTGTATGTGTTTAGCGTATGTGTGTACACACACACACACACATATACAATACAGGTAAAGGAAATTACTGTCTCTAGAACGAATGGCTCCCTCTCTCAGCCACAAAAATACCGGCAACTTTAAAACTACCCATTCTTGGTTGTCATCCGCGAATAATAGACGACCGCGAATTATCCGGATGTACTGTATAAGCAATAAGAGTTAGGTGTAAACAGGGCTGCCTGGTAGGGGCCAATAGACCCATATATGGTGTTATAAGTTTGATTTGAGAGTTAAAAAAAAAGAGAGGTAGGATGTAAACTGATTTATTGTTTGCTAAGATGAACACATTATCCGTCCATCTCTTCTCTCAGGCTTTTTCCATCCATAGACAGATAGAGATACAAGTGAGAAGATGGTAGCTTAAGGAGTTATATGAGCATTTCTGCAGGACTTGTACTTTGTGCAGTATTATTAATGGAATGTGTCACACAGTTGAGGGTGAATGTGGGTGGCTCCAGGAAGAGCAGCAGAGGCAAAGGACTAGCTGAGAGCACCACAACTGCTGGAGAACACTTCACAAGAGACAAAGACCCAGGTCCCTCAGGACTGGATCTCACATCAAGCTTGATGACAAATGACGTATGTGCTGTTATACAAATTTTATCACTGTACAGTATGCTTTTTTTCTCCCAAATAAGTACCTTCAGAGGAATGTAGCTATCATCCTACCTGTCCATTTATAGATACTGTACAGGGAATTACTGCTTATCATTGTACGGTAAACCCTCGATAACTCGACACATATGGGTCTCTGGCCTTGCCGAGTTATCCCAAATTCCGACTTATCAAGGCACTTCCTCCTCCTACAAAAAGACAACAATAAAAGTTTATCGACCCATATATTTGTGTACAATGAAAGACAAAAGTCATGTAGTGAAATTTGGTGAAAACATCTGCCGTAGGGTTAAACTTTTGGTGTGCTCCGCCTTGTGGTAGGGGGGCTCTCATAGTGTTTCACGAGTTGTATTTAATCTTTGGACAAAACCGCCACTTGACTTTTGTCTTTGATTGTACATGGAATTACTAAATGTAAAAAAGTAACACTTACCAGCACTGTGGGCAAAGAATGAAGCATCATAGTAGGTGACAAAGGAGCATGGTAGGTGACACAGAGGTATGGTCGGTGACAGAGGTATGATAGGTGACACAGGTATGGTAGGTGACACAGGCATGGTAGGTGACGCAGGTTGCCAGATATGCCAAGGTTTTCCCAGATAATTTTATGTATCTCGACATTTCCCAAGTTACACTATAATACATAACGAGACCATATCCATGCTGAGTTATGTGAAATTCTGAGTTATCAAATGCCGAGTTATCGAGGGTTTACTGTATGTTCATTCCTGAAAATTGCAACTTTAAATTAAATGAAACAAAACACCTGGGGGAAATATTTGCCAGATCAAAGTAAGGTCAGGCAATAAATTTATTAGTTATGAATGAGGATGGTGAAGGTTGGTTGTATTATGCCTTAGCCAGAATGAGAGATACACTACTCTGGCACTGGTCGTCCACCCAAACTGAGGGAAGATGTTACATATTCACCATTAACTGATTTTGGGACCCATTAATTTTCTTGCCACTAAGTGGTGTAATACATTGAGCATTGGCCCAAATCTTCTCAGCATTACCCCAGAGAGAACCTAGTGTGGTGAGACTTGAGAGGCAAGCCTGAAGTGAGACCAGTGTGAGCAGCTCACTCAGCACCATCAAACCACCTTAAATCCTCCAATATGTTACTCTATGTATGTATTTATATATGTATATATATTAGTTTATTTTTGTAATTATTATTATTATTAATATTATTATTATTATTATTATTATTATTATTATTATTATTATTGTTATTATTATTATTATTATTATTATTATTATTAGGATGATATCCAGTTCTTGGGGGCAAGTTCAAGAACTGGCTACACCGATGCACCAACCAAGCGACCAGCCTTGGGCCGCCGAGCTACTGCACCAGAACATAGTCAACCTCCAGTGCCCTCCATCAACCCCAACTTCCGTTTTAGCCCCACCGTCAGTCCTATAGCACCACAGGCCCCACCTGATCTCACACTTAGACCATCCTCTAAGGAGCCAAGTGAGTCCTTCTAATTGTAAATTCATTGTTACAGTCTCCAAAGAACTACAGGGATCATTTTTTGTAATTGAGTTAATAGTTTTATGCCTGTTTCAGTACTAGTACCATTGTGAGAAAGAGGGTAAATCAAGTAACTAAGCTAGTAGGTCTTATAAGAAAGGCATTCAAATATTGATGGTCCATCCCTCATTATGCTCTTCAAAAGTGAGGTGCTTCCCTGTTTGGAGTACCATCACCCCATCCGGTCCCCAAGATATGCTTGAGGATGTCAGTTGATTGAAAATGTCCAAAAGAGAGCCACCAGACTGGTGCCTTCACTACGGCACCTTAGGTATCCAGAGACATTATAACACCTGCAGTTGCCTAGCTTATACTATAAACAAGCAAGGGGGTACACAATAGATTATAGAAGTTTAAAAGCACCTCAGAGAACATTTCTCAGTCAAGTCTTCATAATGATCATACCCACCCCAATAGAGGTCACAGCCTCAGGTTGAAGAAGCAATAAGTTCATAAAATTATCAGGGCAAACTTTTTGGAATGACAGTTGTGAACTGTTGGAATAACCTGCCAGAGTGTTGTGACCACCAAATGTGAGTTCATTCCCAGACTTGACCAGCACTGGTGCAGGTTCAGATGTATTCTGGAATCAGTACTTGCCAACACTGCATAACGGATGTGACTAACAGGTTGATCAGTGGCAAAGAAGAGAAAGTAAATTAGTAGTAGCTTGAGGGGCTAAATCTGAAAATTAATCTTTAATTTTTCATATATTTTTAATAATAAAGGCCATTGGTACCCAAAGATTATGTGAAATACAGATTTTTTTTTTTTTTAATTTTGATTATTGATTTCAACCTGAAATTGAAGGTTCCTTTATGCTGGGGTTACAAAGGTAGGGCATTTACACTCTGATGTATTGATTACCTGTGGAGGGATTGTGCAGCATAGTGGAGTTATTGCTTTATCCTCTTATCGACTTATCTTATTTTGGTAGTTGTGTTCTCCCATACTGGAGTGCATGTTACTTGATAGTGCAACTTCTGATAACATATTACCTCTCCTCCCAATACTTTACTGTACATGATCCGTTTGTCTTATAGACATATTATCATTTGTGGTGGACTGATTCTGAAATTCTGTTTTATGCCAAAGTCCAAAGCCTAGCAACTCAAATACCCTCCTATCTTCACTGTATTGCTCAAGCTTTGCTGGAACTAAGAATGGTATGTGGAGCTGTATCCAATATGTCAGGGACTGATTATTGCCAGGTATCTCCATATGCTCATGATAGACTTTGTACTTTTCAGTCGTGACCTTTCCAGTCATTTATTATTAACTTATTACTTTGAAGGAAATGTCTATCAGGGGTAAAGGGTTAACAATTAATGGATTCTTAATTCTTAATCATATAATTGGCTGGTGCCAATCATATGGATAGTTCCCCAGCTACCAATCAAGGATTCCTAATGTACCAGTTCAGTGGGGTTTATATATGGCTTTATGAAATAGGATTTCACAAACATATTTATTATTTTGACTTATTATTATTATTATTATTTGTATTACGGTAAGTCCTCGTTTGACGTTGCCCCTGACCGTAGTTTTGTTATAATGTCGCTACTCCTTAAATACCCATGATTCAGACAACGTCGTCATGGACTACTTTGTACGGCGCATCACCATCTCTCATCTTAGCGCGCTATGCTCTCTCGTGGAGCTTAACTGCATCCCCAGTCTTTGTTAGGCTTCCACAGCATTCGTGCGTGTGTTAAGTGTTTTTGCTCTAAATACTGTACTGTAGCCATTTGAAACGGCTTCCAAGCGCCTATCAAGTGCTAGTGTTGTGAAGAAGCAACGTAAGACCATTAGCCTTGCTACGAAAATGGAGGTTTGAGAAAGGTGAACGTGCGGTGGACATTGGTGTTGCGTTAGTTCTAACCCCCACAACGGTGCGTGCTATCCGCCCATCAGTGAGTACAATACAAAATGATTTAGTTTATTTATGTGTTGTCTAATGGTAGACCCTGCTGCCATATGGCATCCAAAAAATTGTGTCCAAGTCCCAGATTGTTGATCTGACTTTCTGCTTCATTTACACACAATTGCAGGGTCTCAATTGTTTCTCTTACTATTGACAACACAACTTACATGTATTGTTTCTCACTTTTGATCTTTTTTACATTTTTGTATTTCTTTATGGTTCTTTATTATTATTATTATTACAGTGTTATTATTATTTTATTTTCAATTTTGTATTTATTATATAAATTTTATTTACTATGAATAATTATTATTATTATCGTCATTGTTATTACATTTTTGCCCCCCAGGCCCAGATGTGGGTCAGTGACCTGTGCCCGGGTGGGTTATTTCCATTGAATTTATGTACTGTATATGTAATGTATTTTATGGGGCAAAGGGATGCTGGGGAACGTAACTCTCATATTTTATCTATTTCTTAAGGGGAAAATTGATTCCATTAATGTTATTTCCGTTAACGTCGCGGTTTTCAGGAACGGAAACACGACGTTAAGCAAGGACTTACTGTATTATCATTATTATTATTATTATGCAAAAACAGGGTTTTACTTCTATTTAAGTTGGTAATAGCATTTTAATGTATTAAGATAAAGGTCTTTTAGGATCATCATCCAAGGCCACTTATGCTGACTACCTTCACCTTTCAGGTTGGTTCAAGAATTCATTGGCTGGTCGAAAAGTTTCCTACCTCAATAAAAAGCCGGGATCTCTCGGCAGAAACCCCATCAAAAGTCTTAATGAGAAATGCTATGGCATTCAGAAGAAGAAACAAATACGAAGCACATTCCTGTTTCATAGAGGCAACTCATGTGCTGAAGAGGTGTGGATCTTTACTTGGTGCTTTGATATAGTTCTCCCTCCCTTCCCTCATGCAAGGCAGCCAGAACCAGGAGTAACATAGACTCACACACATTCTCCCTCGTTGTTCTTCCTAATTGCCTTGCGAGATAATTTTGCTCTGCTACCTGTATAGTTTTCCCCTTCACAACAAGGCCCCCCCATACTATGGTAAGGGAACACATCTGGTACTTCAGTTTTAAATGGCGAGTGACACAGAATAAGGGAATATCTGAGTTACTGTTGACTCTGGCCACTGTGCACTAAATGGAGGATCATCAGAAGATTAGGCACTCTAGTTTATTTCACCTGATGATTAAGCACCCTAATGCTACCTAGGATGGTAAGTTAGGTTGTTTAATCATTAGGTGAAATAAGCTGGGGTGCCTTAACTTCAGGTGATCCAAAGTTAGAAGTGCAACTTTATGAGGGTAAGTTTAATCCTAGAGCAGTAATGTAGAGTAAACCAACAATGATTTTTCTAGAGTTTCCATAATAATAATAATAGAGGTGTTTTGGTGTTGAAGAAACCCAGTCATCTTTAATGATATACCCAGGATCAGAAACCCATGTGTTAAACAATCACTTATTAGGCATAAACCTCAGAAGCATTATGTAATAATGCTTCTGAGGATAGTGTGTAGCACATTGATAACTTGCAGCATGTTTATAGTGAATAGTTATGTCGTCTTTCCTTCCTGCAGAGTTTTCGGTATGAAGATAAGGCAAACTACCAGCAGTTGCTGCAGCAGTACACAGAGAGCTCAGTCTTGCCCTCCAGCTCCTCCAACAGGTATGTACAGTACTGGTAGCAATAGTGTGTAGTGTTACAAGCAGTGTGTACTAGCAAGAATAATGTGTGATGTTGGGATCAATTTGTACTGATAGACACAGTGTCAACTCTGGTGAGATCAGTGTGTACTGTATTACCCTTCCTAAAAGAAAGACACTTATTAATTTCAGGGTCACAAGGTCAAGGTCATTTTGGAACTACACTAATAAATGGCTACTACATTATTGTGATTTAAATCACTATACAGTACATGTATACAAATCCAAATTATCCCATAATGATCTAATTAAGTGATGCAAATGAACATGTAGTAAAACACCTAATCCTGTAAGAACCTGAATTATTCTACTGTGAAGCAAATGACTGTAGATATCTAAAGGATGTTAAAAGCATTCCAAATTATCATATAGTAAACTAAATGATCCTTTAGTGAACCAGATGTTTCAAAGGACCAAATAGTTAAGTAAATGACCATCTGGTGAACTAAGTATTCCCAGGGGGATCTAAATAATTGTATGGTTAACCAGGTGATCCATTAGCAAACTAAATTATCCTATAATGATCCAGTGAACTAAATGATTATATAAGAGATCCAAAAATATTATGTGATTATTTGCAAAGGTCATAGTTTGGGGTCAAAGGTCGGTACTGTGTAGCTATTTCTTTTCTTTGTGGTGTATCCATCAGTGTTAACATTATTTATCATGTCCATACATTTGGTATTTCAGAACTACAAAGTGTTTTGTTTTGTTTTTTAATATTATTATCTTTTCCACATATTTGAAATTTATATTTAAAATTTTAATACCCATATTTGATATTGGCAAAGCATACCCCGCTTATTCTCAGAGAATTAAAAAGAAAAATAATACCCGTGGAGATGGCATGTAGCCATTAATACATGTAATGAAACTATAAATGTTTTGGCAAGCTGTGATCTGTTATTATTTTTCAACTGGTAATTTCAGAGAGAGACATACTTACAGTATTGATAGTTGTCTTTAATTTTTTTAGTCCATTACATGCACACACATTGTTCATACAGAATGTGCAAAAAAAATATTATCATAAGGCCAAAAACATAAAGAGCATAAACATTTCTTCATGTTTGGGAGTAAGCTCACAGATAGTGGGAGGGGAAGTGGTGTCAGGGATCTCACCCATTCCAGTCTAGTGTCCTGCTGTAGTGAAATTATTGCCAAATTGCAATGCACTGTTTTTTCTTTTATTTTATTTATTAATATTATGTGTATTCTTTCCTCACATCTACAGGTACAGTAGACTGTATATACTAATGATAAAAGGTATAAAAATAATTCTTTTAAGTGTCCTTAACTATTTTATGTTACCATTCAAATCCTGGTTCCGTTATTCATTATGGTCAGAAATTCCCTGCTGTAAGTGGATTCACTAAAAGTGGCAATTTTCCAATCCCTAATAGCCTTGGACAGTGAGGACCCTTCCTGTTTATTAAGTGTATATCGAAAATATGTGGTGAAAGTTGCCACTGGGGAATTCACCCCCCTTCCCCTCTAATTACAGTACCGTACATTGATTCTTATGGGGCAAATTGCTGTGGTATTTGTAAATTTGTTATTCCTAATAACTTTTAGGAACTCATCCTTTGCGATAACTGGGGTATCTCTGTATATTATATACAGTAAACCCTCGATAACTCTGGCCTTTCCAAGTTATCCCAAATTCCAATTTATCAAGGCACTTCCTCCTCCTACAAAAATACAACAATAAAAATTTATCAACCCATATATTTGTAGGGGGCTCTCATAATGTTTCACGAGTTGTATTTAATCTTCGGACAAAACCGCCACTCGACTTTCGTCTTTGATTGTACATGTAATTACTAAATGTAAAAAAGTAACACTTACCAGCACTGTGGGCAAAGAATGAAGCATCATAGTAGGTGACAAAGGAGCATGGTAGGTGACACAGAGGTATGGTCGGTGACAGGTATGATAGGTGACACAGGTATGGTAGGTGACACAGAGGTATGGTAGGTGACACAGAGGTATGGTAGGTGACACAGAGGTATGGTAGGTGACACAGGTATGGTAGGTGACACAGAGGTATGGTAGGTGACACAAAGGTATGATAGGTGACACAGAGGCATGTAGGTGATGCAGGTTGCCAGATATGCCAAGATTTTCCCAGATAATTTTATATATCTTGGCATTCCCCGAGTTATACTATAATACATAACGAGACCATATCCATGCTGAGTTATGTGAAATTCCAATTCATCAAGTGCCAAGTTATCGAGGGTTTGCTGTATATTGTAGTAATATTCTTATTATGATTGAGAATTCACTTATCCAATAACCTTATACCATTTTTGTCCTCAAGGTCAGGTATTTATAACTACTACTGGGGGTAGAACAATACTGATGATGTTCTCTTGTTGTGGTTGTAGCACAAGCCCAATCGCATGCATTACACGATCCCGATTTAATTCCTTTTGGACTGATGAAAAGCGGCGACAACTTGAAGACACTTTAAGTGCTTCAAGGCTTTCAAGTACACTTGCTGTAGATGCAACAGCCTCAAGGTGTGTATCTTTCTCTTTCATGTTACATACACTGAGTTATCAGTTACTTGAAAACTTAAGAATATTTTGATAAAACACATTGCAGCAATTCATGATTTCTAATTAGTGGCTCATGCAGAATCTTCTTAATACTTTGGTATTTTAGCTCCTCCAAAGTGTTCAGTAGACCTTAAAAATATGTGCAAAAGACCTTTGCCATTTAGAGATTTACAGGTCACGTTTTCGACTATTCGTGGTTCATCCCCTTAAAAAGAAAATTAATTGGTTGGAGATACATATAAAAAAGTATTTCCATATTTCATAAAAAAAAATTTCCCTTCTCATAATCATCCTCTGGGTGACACCATTATGCTGTACTATGTTATAAATAAATATGTAAATAAATACATAGTGAAAGGCAGATGCCAGGGTTTGCTGGCTGGTCAGCTGTTTGGTTATGTAAACAAACTCATTAACTCATCTGGGGTTGAGTGAGGCTCATTTGTATTTTATTTGATTTTTTCTATCAGGAAAATTTATTGTTTTATGATAATGTTTCATTAATCTGGCACCAAATGAACCTAAATGATATGAAAAAAGAAAATTTGTCTTATTGCCCTGAAATCTCTCATTCCAGCAGAGCTCTGCATCAATTTCCTGCTAGCTGTACAGGTATGTTGGGTTGATTTTGACCCAACATATAGAGTAGTTTTGTTAGGTTAGGTCAGGTGAAAGTAGGATTCCATCAATGGTGTATACTAAGGCATAAATTATGGATAAGAGAGCAGATTTGATTGATAGTGATTTTGGACACTTGTGGGAGGTGAGTCAGTTGTTTGCAGATAATACTGAACTACTTTAGCGAGTGACCAAGAAGAAAAGTTGCAAGTGTTACTGAGTGATTTTAGAAGTGTGTGTACAGTATTAGAATAAAGTTAAAATTAAATGTGAACAAAGGTAAAGTGATTAAAGTAAGTAGAGAAAGGAGACAGAGAGAAATAAATGAAAGGTTGACTGGAGGTAAAATTGAGTAAATGGGGGGCTTCAGGTATTGGGGTATATGTGTCAGCTAGTTGAACAGTGGGTGATGAAGTACTGAGAGATCATGAAGCAAAATTTTTTCAGGCCCTTATATACCCTTGTCACTAACATTCTCTCATGATAAACTCAGTGATCTGGCCACAGAGAAAAAATCCTCGACGTCTGACATCCTGTTAGTGGACTTGGTGAGAGCAGAGAGTACAGGTAAGGCTGCATGTTTATGTGGTGCTCATATGACTCACTGTAGACCTTGAATACTGCTTGATAGTGGAGAGTTGATGTTATGGGTTTTACTGAATATTGTTATTGACTAGCATTATATAGTTGCTACAGATTCTGAGACTGACAGCGTGATCTTCGTTAAAGAGCTGACAAAACCAGTATCACGGAGCAACTCCCTTGAGTCAATCATCCAAGAATCTCCTGTCTATAACACCGACTGGCTCAAGAGTCTGTGAGTATACAGTACAAAACATACATGAAATTTTGCCTTTGTACCACAAGTAGCTGTGAATGTAGGAATCATTGTTCAACAGTTACAGTAAATACTTATTTTTTTAAACTACCAGAAGAACAGGAAAAAGTAGCCAGTGTGGTAGGGATTGGAAAATCTAAGGTTTGTTTTCATACCTAATAAGTTTAATGCTAGAATACTGTACAAGGGACAAACAGCAAACAATGGTACACGGTCAAATTTGCTAATGTAATAATGAGTTCATGTCCTAACTGCTTTTTATTACCATATAGAACTTTTGAACTGTAGTACTGTACAGTATAGTGTGTCATACCTCAGTTCATATTAGTGGCAGTGCACAGTATAAAGATCTCACAAAGATTAGGGACACGCCCCTACCCCCAGTGATTAAATAGCTTAATACTAAATGGGGGGATTAGGTTAGGTTAGATAAAAATAAGTTAGGTTAGATATGTTGTGTTTGGTTAGGTTAGGTTTAAGGTAGTTAATCATTATCCTCTTCACCACTGATAGGCTTATTAGCTGCCTGGGCGATCGGTTATGTCGCTCTTACACACTGTTGGCATGTACTAGTTACAGGAGGTATCTGTACCTCCACTCACCTCTTGTTCCATGGGTCGGTGGTTCGATCCCTGGGCACTCACCCAACTTGAAATGCTTACTTAAGTTTACAACTTGGGGGAAGTGAAGGCTTATTATACGGTGTGTTGTATCCACACTGTCTCTAACGGGCAGTCATGCCTATGGGACGCAAATTCTTGCATGCTCAAAGCAGAGCCACACACACTAGTAAACTAACTAATGAAATCATAATGTCAAATATATACATACTGTACACTGTTCAGTAATATTTTCAGTAAGCCAGTAACTGCCAGTAACTCACTGGCAGTTTACATTTATGTATAATGATTGTCCAAAGTCCTCCCAATTAAGGGGTGACTTTGGACACCTATAAATGTTATCTTTCAGAATAAGTGTGAGCTTTTAAATATTGTTGTTTTTGTTGGAAATTACGAGGCCATTGCTCCATACACCAATAGGCTACTTAGCATCTGCTTTTGACAGCATCTTTAAAAAGACCTAATTAATCGTCCGAACTAATCCTTGTTCACGGTAACAATGAATTAGTTTCACATTTTCTTTTTATTTCGTTTAGGCGTGAAAAATATGGGAATCGCTCCAGAGCTGCAAGTGATGAGGCAGAACTTGCTGCTGAAATGCAGAAAAGGTTTGAGGAAAGGCGGGCGAAGTGCCACTCATCCCTAGAGGACCGCATCACTCATAGGATGAAGTTCTTGGATCTGACATTCCCTTCTAAGGTTGAGGAGATACAGCCAGAGGAAGAAGAGGAAGAGGAGGAGGAACTTGTACCACTTACTTCTCAGATGGAGGTAAATATTATAAGTGAAGATATTTCAGGTTGACCTCTTTCTGAAGCATGTTTAACATCACTTAGTCAGCCAGCCTTTCCTGACTTAACAAGTAAGTTTTTTCACATGATTTCTCTCTCTCTCTCTCTCTCTCTCTCTCTCTCTCTCTATATATATATATATATATATATATATATATATTATATATATATATTATATATATATATATATATATATATATATATATATATATATATATATATATATATATATACAGTTGGTCCTCATATTACGCGGTTAATGTAACCCGGAGGGTACCGCGGAAAGTGAGAAACGCGTAAAGTGAATAACATAACATATGGGATTAATTGAAATGGAGTCCGGGCCGATCCCCAAACTCCACTTTTTGACGACACACAACTATGTTGTAGTAAAAATATTATCTTAACTTTATGATGGCATGCACACACAATTAATAATTAAGAGAAATATCAATAATGTTAGGTTTTTTAACACTTACATTAGTAAAAAAGATGGCTGGGCACACGGGGATGGGCGGTTGGTTCCGAGGCAGAGGGCAGATTATTGGCCCTCACCTGTATCACTTGTATCAATTGTATCACTATCCACCACAGAGGCTTGCAGGGCCTCTTTGTCAAACCCCTCAAAGTTCATATAAGTCCATATCCTCACTATAATTATCACTATCACTGACTTGGGCCGGCTGTAGTGGGTGGCGGGTGAAGAACTGGTCATGTTTTGATGACTGGGCGACCTTGTGCGCACCATTTTCGCGCCTCTTACACAACATGGCGGATGGCGGGAGGTTTGGATCCAAAAATGGCGCGGCTTGCCAGCCGCTCTCCGCTTAATGGGGTTCACGACCGCGGAATGTGAAAATGTTAGGTTCTGGCAAGGCACCGCGTTAACGGTGAAACGCGGAATGCGGGACCGCGTAATATGAGGACCAACTGTATATTATATATATATATATATATATATATATATATATATATATATATATATATATATATATATATATATATATATATATATATATATATATATATATATATATATATATATATATATATATATCTGTCTGGCCTAAGTAAAACAGGTAAAGATCTTGTAACTAGACTTAAACAACATAAATACAATGTTAGGACAGGCCAGGAATCCAATGCTCTGTTTGTTCATTTGAGGGATAACAAGCATTGCATTGACTGTGATAATGCCTCCTCAATATTACCTTGTAATTCAATTGACAGTAGGAACATCATAGAATCTAGTCTCATTAAACATACCGAAGCATTCAACATGAATTTGAGTAATGGCATGTACAAACTGGACAATTTTGTAATTAAGAAGATTTGTAACCAGGTGAGAAGGTTGGGTCACCTTACCCTCTGACCTGACTACCGACCGTTGCGGTGCTATTTAAAGATTAGTAGGGTCATTACCTAATACCTGACCATTGTGGACCTGGTCTCACCCTCCTCTGTATATATACACCTTGTTTTGTACTTCTCTTTAGTCTGTACTCACCCCTGAAGATGTGAATTACACGAAAGCGCTTGGGAACTTCGTGTTTTCTTCTTTCCTTGTGGTTATCAGCATATATATATATATATATATATATATATATATATATATATATATATATATATATATATATATATATATATATATATATATATATATATATATATATATATATATATATATATATATACTGTAATGTGATTCTCATTTAATTCCATTAACCCTTAAGCTCCGGGTTAGGGTACTGCTGGCAGTACCCCCTATGCGGGGTTAAATCGAGAAAAAAATCAACATTTCCAAAATTAATTTAAAAATAAATAAATAAAATATAAAATTAAATATAAAAAAATGGCGGGAAAATTGGCGGACGTTTTGGAACGTCACCCGGGGCCTAAGGGTTAAGGAGCAATTGAAAGTTACATATCGTAATAACAGTACAGTATAATAATAGTCATGATAATGTTTCTCAAAAGTGTCTGTTCTTCTAAAGAATTCACTAATGTTCAAAACACTATAAAGTCAAGGGCCTGAAAATAAAAACAAATACTAAAGAAAAAAAAGTGACTGTTTGAATTGTATCTTTGTATATCCTTAAGTTGTAACACTTCCTAAGTCCTGTAATAAGTATCATTACTACATTATTCTCATAGCAAGTCCTAACAGAATTCTTTATTAGATATTTCTTAACAGAAGCCTTCTTTATATTCTGTACTTACACCAGTGTCTAAATCTCTATTCCTTGCTCTCCCCCTTTCAGGATGTGATTGACAATGCCCTACAGAGGTCCCGTGATACGCAGAAGGTGCTCATTGAAAAATTCAACATTCAAATCACCCGTCGTGATATCGCCACACTATCAGGCCTGAACTGGCTGAATGATGAGGTATGTTTGCAAGATTTGCTTGGTATAACAGCATATCCAGATGTGGAAGGAGAGATTGGTGAATTGTATGGAAACCAGTATATACCACATCTAAACACTTAACAGCAAGGACCAGAAAACTTCCTCCCACCACTACCAAGCCTTTTCCCATAAATGTATGAGAGTAAACACAAATTCTTCCTTCAGTCACTGTCATTCATTGATGCTGCTATAACAAGGTGTAGCAGCATGTTTGAATTTTACCAAAGAATGAACTTGGGACCTTGCTCAACAGCAAAGAGTTTAATGTCAAAGTTGAAGGTCAAATTTACTGGCATTTATGCAATTGTATAACTGAATTATGTATACTTAGGTGCATTGGTTTGTTTCTCTGTCTGTCTAGTCTTAAGTTTGTATAATTGATTCATCATCTAGTTTTCAACAAAATTTTATGCCAGAATTGGAACAAATTGTGTGATATATTCAGTATATGGATGGGTGGGCGTTGAGCATGTGTGTAGACCATTTATAGTTTATCATAGATTACAGTTTTAGTTTACATCATGTTTAAGTGAATCATTCTTACCAGGTGATCAACTTCTACATGAACTTGCTGGTGGACCGTGGGAAGAATGACAACTATCCGAGTGTATATGCATTCAACACTTTCTTCTACCCCAAGTTGGTCAAGACTGGCCACCAGTCAGTCAGAAGGTGGACTAAAAAAGTGAGTTAGTTTTATATCCCTGTATACTTGTATTGTGATTCCCATAACTGATGGGTAGAGCATTCACCTTGCAAGAGAAAGTATGTACAGGGTTTTCTGCTTTTATGTTAGCCTGTGCACACTCACCAGGTAAGTTAGTACTGTATATTATCAGGTGCTCATGTTGATGGTGAAACAACAGTTTAGTGGGTTAGCATACTGTTGTGAGGGTGGAGTAACCCCACTAGCTGCTGAATTATGGTGTACAGTACTAAGTTTTCTCCATCACTGTCCCCAAGATTGTGTTATTTGGTGAGGGAGAAGAAATTCTGGTGTGGTTTTGTGTGTGTGTGTTTTTGTTTTTACCCCTTGCATGACATAACTTCAGTAAAAGTAGTTCCTTTGTAACATAGTTGATGAATTAGGGAACATATTCATTTAATGAATTCCATAATTTGCTATTTACATGTAGGGTAAATGTGTGTTTTGGGTAATAATTCATAGTGCTATGCTCTTCTCAGCTTTATAAACAGCATGAGGCTTCCTAGCTGCTTGTAGCCCAGTAGACCCAATTGCTCTCCTTCTACCACTAACTCCCTAACTCCCAACACACATCACCACCAAGCCTCAGTGTGGTGCCTCAGAATTAATTTCTTGTGAGTGTAACTTCAGTATTGTATTTATGATATTAAGTTTATCTTTGTTACTGTATATTTGTGATTACACTTAAGGGCCAAATAATTGGCCAGTACAGGTTCACAATCCCTTATCCGAAATCCTTGGGGCCAGAGGCATTTCGAATTTTGGAATTTTTCGGTTTTTAGAATTTTTTTTTTTTTTTTTTTTATAGCCTACCCGGGCACAAGTCACTGACCCACATTGGGGCCTGGGTGGCGAAAATATAATAAAAATAATAATAATAATAACAATTCATAGGTCAACTGTAGGTCGTGTTTCTCACTTTTGATTTTTTTTTTTCATTCTTCTATTTCTTTATTATTATTATTATTATTTTATTATTACAGTATTATTGTTATTATTATTATTATTACTATTATTATTAATTTTATTATATTTTATTTTATTATTATTATTATTATTATTATTGTTATTGTTACCTGTATCATTATTTTTTTATTTGGGTGTATTTTTTATTAAATTTTTTATTTACTATGAATAATTATTATAATTATTATTACTATTACATTTCCCCCCCCCCCAGGCCCCAATGTGGGTCAGTGATCTATGCCCGGGTGGGCTAATCCCTGTTAAAAAAAAAAAAAAATTATTCGGCACCCTTACGGCGTGATACAATATGACACGGGTGCCGAATAATTTTTTAGTGGGTGTATAGTGCGTGTTAAGTGAGGTGTTCTATAAAACCAAATATCATATTAAAAATGGAGATTTAAAATATTGATTAGTTGCATATGTCCTGTGTAGTGATGGTTTAGAGTCTATTGGTACAGTATTGCATAAACTTTAGACATTACTAATATACAATCTGACATACAGTATTGAGAATTGGCAGTTCACCTGAGAATAAGTTGCCAGCTGTCACTGCTAATTGTCCATTCTCATAAAATCGAACCACAGTTATGTAATTCTACAGTTAACATGACTGATGTTCATTTTTTATTTTATTTCTTACATATTTGTAAATATTTTTGGTAGTCTAATAATGTAACCTCACTTTTCCTAAAAAAAATATTTAATTCAGTTAAACAATTTCACCAAGATATGAATTACACTTTAACTCACATTATGATGTGTATTTTCATCTCAGGCACTATCATTGACTTTCTGATAAATTTTCCTATTCTTGTTACCCATTATCGTAAGATCTCTTAAATGATGGTTACTGTGCTTAGGGCATGTGACATATGTAACATTTTCACACCTATCTAATATAAAAAAATTAAATGTGGCTTTCTCCTGTGTGTCTTTTTGATACGGTATTCTGCATTTTTTAAACTCCTGTTTCCTGCATCAGGTTGATGTGTTCAGCTACAACCTGCTGCTGGTACCAGTCCACCTGGGAATGCATTGGTGTCTGGCTACCATAGACTTCAGGGACAAGGCCATCCGGTACTATGACTCTATGCTCGGGGACAACCACCGATGCCTGGAGGTGAGGTGTTCTTGTGTCTTATGTTTACAAGCAGTTATTTATCAGTGACAAGGCCACAGATTCCATCCTTTTTACCCCATTTGTAGTCACTTCCTTCAAATTGGTGGAATAAGGGGGACATTTTCTTTAAAATGTGGGCTCCACTGCCTTGTTTCTTAATATATTTCCTTTAACATTATACTTTTGATAAGTAGTGGAGTAAAGAGTAGAGTGTCTCCCTTCATTAATATAAACAATGTGCTGTAATAAGACCCATGAAAGTATGTATTGAAATTTTTTTTAGTTTTCCACCATGCTTATAATTTTGATAAAATGTCTTATGTTTTGGTATATTATAATCATTACTTACTGTATTTAACTCACTTTAGGCATTAGTACATTAATTTTTTCTGTTTTCTGTGTCAATGACCTAAACTGTTTTGATGCCATGAAGCGATAACAATGTGAGTCAATCAGTCTCATTGTTTATTCCTCACACCATGTCACTCCCAGCAGACAACTTCTATGTTCTATATAACATGTGGTGTTGTATGTATCACTGTTCACGTGTATCTCCCCTGACAGTTGGACTTTTAAAGAAGTTGGGGAATATTTTTATACCTTTTTTACTTGTGATTTTTTTTCAATGTTTCTTTAAAAACTATGTTTTCAGGCTCTTCTAAAATACCTGCAATCTGAGCATCTGGACAAGAAATCAACTGATTATTACACAAGAGACTGGACACTGGAGAATATTAAAGTATATATATATATATATATATATATATATATATATATATATATATATATATATATATATATATATATATATATATATATATATATATATATATATATATATATATATATATATATATATATATATATATATATATATATATATATATATATATATATATATATATATATATATATATATATATATATATATATATATATATATATATATATATATATATATATATATATATATATATATATATATATATATCATGCATTATTCTCATTATGGTACAGTATATATGAGGGGTGTTAATGCAGAAGCTATCAAAAGAAAATAATCACAATATAAGCATCCACACCAATGCTTTTTTCACATTTACACTCCCTCATTATTATCACCAGGCCTTTTAGTTCAGTCCAGTAATTGTTCACAGTTATTTCAGTATGATAGGTAATTCTTTAACATTTGGAAACTAATCATTTTATGATTGGGCATTTATACCTAATTTTTACATTGCGTCATTTGTCATACCGAGGCTGTCTCAAAAATTTTATGTATACTGTGTGCTACTTTTAAGAACTGGTTTTCTGGATAACAAGGTACAGTACGTAACTATAGTATTTCCACGCTAACCTGGCTCATATGCCACGCTCCTCTTCTATACTAATAGCTGATTGGTTCATAGAAAATCCAAACTAAATGTGTTCACAATTGGTAAGCAGATCTGTTATTATCTAAAATAACGTTAAATATCTGTACTATCAAAATGAAAATAATTTCAAGGTACTTCAGAGAGTATGTTAGACAATTTTAAATACTTTTCATAAAAGGTCGATATAAATACGAGCTAATATAAGTGCAGTCCGAGGGGAGGTAAAACGCTCAGGGGAACCAATAAGCTATTTGTAGGTGTGGCTTACGGGCCAGGTTAGTGTGGAAAGGGGGACAAATGTAGGAAGTATGGGCAAGATAGTACAGTACATATGAATGGCTGAGTAAAACATGGTTAGAACCTTAAGTTCCCATTATGATGTACAGTACTGGATATCACTTAATACCTCAGCAACTATCCAGTTGGAGGTGTAAGCTGGGATATGTATATTCATTCAAGTTAAATACTTCAATTGTCAGTGTACTGGCAACTGTACATTAGCTACTCTGATTACACTGTCAAGCATCTTATTACATGTTGAATTGTTTCTGATATTTTTTATCCCATTGAAATAATCATATCCACATTTGATGGAAAAATTGACGTAAGTGGATTATTACCCTTGGTTAAGTGTAGTGTGACCATAGATAGTGAACTGGGAATGGAAGAGAATATTGTATACAGTATTAGTGTGTAAAATGTCTCTCTTACAGTATGTAGCAGATATTCATTACCAACCAGTTCTCAAATACTGTACTTTACAGTATTATCATGTCTTCTGTATAGAGAATTGAATGCTGGAGTCTAAAACCAACTGATATTTTCATACTCACTAATTTTATTATTGTTCTTTTTCAGGATATACCCCAACAGATGAATGGATCAGACTGTGGAATGTTTGCCTGCAAATTTGCCGAGTACTTATCACGCAATGCTCTTATAACTTTCGACCAGCAGCACATGCCCTACTTCAGGAGAAGAATGGTATATGAGATTGTCTGTGGTGCATTATTATAGTAAAAGGTCAAGATTTTAACATTAAAGACAAAAACAAAGAAGTTGATAAGAAGTTAAGTTGTATCATGTGTGGTGTTCAGTCTTATCCTCCATTGTTGTCGACATCCAGATCCAAGCAGGAAGGTGTAAACATAATCTTGTATCAAGACAAATACTACAGATTGATTCCTCATGATAAATTTAGGTTTGATGAAATACTCCTATGCCTTTATATAACAAAACTTAATATTTTTTTTCCTGGCTACTGTGTACGTGTGTGTGTGCATACGTGCATTTTTTTATGTTATAGTGTTAGAAAAATGTAGTTACCAGTTTTATCCAGTCGTGTAACAAATTATCTTATTGGCATTATCACAGTGAAGAAAATAGTCACAGCCAGAGCACTTGAGGTTGAAATTGAGAAAGTAGGTAGTAGGTAGTAGGCAGCTATCAAACAGGGAGGTACTACCATCTGGGAAGATATTGGAAGCATAATGTGTTATCTAATGGTAGACCCCTGCTGCCATATGGCATCACAAAAATTGTGACCAAGTCCCTGGTTGCTGATCTGACTTTCTGCCTCATTTACACACAATTGCACGGTCTCAATTGTTACTCTTACTATTAACAACACAACATACATATTGTTTCTCACTATTGATATTTTTATTTTTTTGTTTTTGAATTTATTCATGGCTCTTTATTATTACAGGGGGTATTATTATTATTATTATTATTATCATCATTATTATTATTATTATTATTATTTATAATTTTTATAGACTTTTATTATTGCTGTATGTGTATTTTCTTTTATTATAATTATTTTTTTTTAAATATTGTTATTAATTTTATTATTATTATTATTATTATTATTATTATTATTATTATTTTCTTTTATTATAATTGTTATTTTGTTAAATATGTTTATATTAATTTTATTACTAGTATTATTATTATTACCATTATCATCATCATTGGCATAATTATTATTATTATTATTGTTTTATTATATTTTCGCCCCCTGGGCCTTGATGTGGGTCATTAAAAATGACCCGTGCCCGGGTGGGCTAATTCCCTTAAAGAAAGAATAAAGAAAGAAAATACACAGCAAATTAATACAAAAGGTATGTGTGAGAGAATTAAAATATTTATTACAGCATACTGTATATGATAATAGGCCATTATTCTACCCGAATGTTATGTTCATTTGTGATATTGTAGTAACTTTTGTAAAATTGTGTGAAGATACAAGACAAGTTTTTCTAGTGATCACTAAAATGGTTCTACTGTAAGTAGTTTCTTAAGTTTTAAACACCGATTCCTCATAAGTATGAAATTAGTACTGTACTGTAAGCATGTCACTTAATATGATTATTATTATTGGCTTATAATCATTATGCACTTATCTCACCTTTTATAATGGAAGTCTATATAGGAAAATGATCCAATTTATATAAAGTATTTCAGGAATGTAATAATTTTTTTAAGTCGAGGACTGCCTGTACTATGTCAAATCCTGTAGTGTGTGATGTGTCTGATGAAAAAGTTTTGTAATGATTGACTCAAACAAAGATACAGTATACTGTATGAGAATAATTTTTTATAGATTGCACAACATCTTCCATGATGTATGTTCAAGACAGCTTGAACTTTTTTTCTCAGAATGTTCATCACGTGTATATTTTGTTGTAAGATTGTCAGTACAAAAGTAACTAAAGTGTTCTTATACTGAGCCCAAGTTTTCCTCCTAATTTTTATACAGTACAGTATGTAATTTCAACAGAGAGTGTAAACAGACTATTACTGTCAGTGATAAACAGAATGTCAGCAAGTATATAGTAATACAGGCAACAGAGAAAAGTAAAACTTACTGACATATATACTAGTACTGTACTGTGCCATATACGTATACTAGTACAGTACTGTGCTGTGACATATACGTATGCCAGTACTGTATACTTTTATGGACGTATCACGATATACAAATCAGATCCATTGCATAAAAATTCTGGGAAGTCCTTTAGTTAGCGTGTTTTTTTTACAGCATTGCAAATGAATTAAGTCTTGTATTTGTATTATATGTTTAAAGTCAACAATTGTTCCGTTATAACAGAAACGTGCAGGTTCCCTTTCCCAAACACTTAATGTTGTAAAGTCTCTTTCAAGATTCTTCGAACATTGCTGGAGACAGCTGGCAACTCAAGGCCATTTGCTTACTATAGTACGTAGTAAAAAATATGAATGAATGTAAAAGCCCAACCAATAAATAAGCAACGGGAACTAAGTAACCAATCACCGATCACTTTTACATTCATTCATAATTTTTATTACGTACTATAGTAAACAAACGGCCTTGAGTTGCCAGCTGTCTTCAGCAGTGTTCGAAGAATCTTGAATGAGACTGTACCTTGATAGATAAAACTGTGTAAAACTTTATGACGGTAATTTAATAGTTTGCTTGAAAAAAAATTATTTTCATAATCACAAAGTTATAGGTCTGCCAACTTTTTGCTTTCTTGTCATTTTCTGTGGCTGTTCATATAATGATTTCTAATTTTGATATACAGTTTTTTGTAATCCAGATTTATTAATAGATACATCCCGTATCATAATCTTATTTTAATGTTTATTATTGCTATTTTACAGCTTATCTGTACAATACAGTACAGTACTTACTTTGCTCCCATTATACCTGTATTTTACAGTCACTGCCTAAATTATTTATTACCATTCACAGTATGTATTAGTACTGTATTATGCTTTATGTTCTGAAAATCTCTAAATAGTATACTGTATGCTTTATATCCTGATAGGTTTTTCTCCCTTTATGGACATATCTTCACACAACATATTTTCACCATCACACTCATGTCAAATATCTACACTTTCATCATAGTAAGGGGACATGAATTTGCTCTGCTGTTAATTTACAAGCTGAATATTTAAATAAGCTTTGACTTAAAAATAAGTGGACAAACAAAAGTGTTTGGAATCACACAAATATACAGACATGTTTTATGGAAATAAAAGGAGTTAGTAAGATTGATAAAGAAGATTGTACTTGACTGGTAGTTAGTGTTAATTATGACAACAGTCTGATGACCAGGTTAGAAAATATCTTGTGTGAAGGGTTTTAATGAAGGCATGTGGGGATGATTGTACATGTGTCATCAGCTTTTTGTATAGAAATAACTTTTGCTATCAGACTGATGATAAGAGTCATTGAGAGCAAATAACAGCCCCAAAAAATTAAGTTTGAGGAAAGAAATATGGTCATAATGTAATGAGTATCATAAAGTTTTGGGAGTAAGACATTTGGAAGATATAACTTTATTGTGGGAGGATCTTTGTTGCCCGTGATTTCAGCCTCCCAGTGTTATATGGGAAAAGATTTGCAAGAGTGAAAAAACAAAATTTAAGCCCCACATATATACAAGTTAGTCGAATGGACAGAAATACCTAGATAAAATAATTACAAAATTATGTTGGGACATGCAAACTCACTTAAGATATGCTTTCATTAACACGAATGTTTATACTTGTCGGTCAGGGACCTCATTTTTGGTCTCTGGGGTCACCTCATAAAGGATTAAGGACTTAAGCTATTCACTTCTTTCTGAAAATTTTCCAACTTACTGTACTGTAATTTACTTGTAATGCATCTTCTTACTCAGGAATGAAAGGATGAGTTCCTCACAGGGACAAGATCTCTTAATTTTTGGGTAGAGATAGCTGAGAATTAGTTTTTTGGTGAAGTTGCCTTATCTTAACAGCTCCACATTTATATTAGGAAAGTCGCATTTACTGATATGTCTGATAAAACTATTAACCTGTATTTCTATTCTTGCATTTATTAGGACTAGTGGTTTGCCTGTTATGGAGGACAGGATGTGCCATTTTTTCTGTATAATGTACAGTAGTGTGTCATTCCTTATACTGTAGAGTTGCAGAGACCTAAATAAACCATTAAAGTGGATCATTGAAATATAATGGCCACTTTAGAGAAGTATTATATTTTTACATATTGATGATGATTAATCGGATAGTATAGGGGAGATATTTGTGATTGATGTTTAAAAAGATATTCTTCAGAGTTGTCCAGCTGTAGAGGGGAGGAACAAATATTTAGTTAGATGAGGACACAGATGTATCTTCTTGAATAATATGTAATGCAAACCACCACTTTGCTCTAATATGGAAGTCTGCTTTGCTGACTATTTGCTTAAGGTGAACAGCAGAGTATTATGCCTATGGTTTTGAAAACTTGATAGAAGGCTACAACTTTACTTACTTTTTTCCAATACGTATTGGCCAGTTGCATATAAACATTGTAATCTACTAACATATGATGTCCTGTAACTAATTTGTCACATGCAGCACAACTATATCCAGGTTGTGGGTGTCTATAGTATTAACCCAGTCATTTATAACTTAAGAATTCCTGTCATGGCTGATCGCATTTAATATACTGTACAGTAATTGTTAGGGAATTCTAAAGTGACATGTGGTAGTGCAGCAGAAGTTAAGAATACACTAATCACATATATTTATGAACAATAATCTTTGTTTGTAATGTTACATCCTCAGTGGATCACTCTGTAATTCAAATACCATAGGAAGATTCATGACCACATATCGAAATAATGTATAAACAGCTGACCACCAACAAAAAATTTGTACAGGTTATAGTACATGCAAACCCTGTCTCCATTTGTATGCAAACAGTATTTATTTATTTATTTTTTTTCATTATAAGCTAACAAATGGTTCAAGATGTATTATAAACTCTCAGAATATCTTTAGATAACTGTACAAAATGTGAATAACTTTAGTATATAAGATTTAATTTTGTGAAAACTTGTAGGATTGTGAGAAAACTTGGCTTAAACTTGTTAAGTGTCTATTATAAAATTATATTGAATCATTAATGGCTATGACCACCATATACTATTTGTGTTAAATAAATACTTTAATGAGGTACAGATACTTTACAATTGAATTTTCTTAGTTTCCATGAGATTCATCCTAACAACTGGTCTAGCAGCACTTGGTTCTTGACACTTGTCCCTCCAACTGTATCTTGTACTCTTGTCCCTCCAACTGTATCTTGTACTCTTATGTTCATTAATACCTATAGATAACATCTTGTTGGCTTCCATCATTATTGAACAGGATACAAGTACTGTATACCTCAGTTTATGATAACTACAGGTATTTACCGCCTAAATTTTATGATACAATAGTAAATAATTTTACACATTTTTATTTAAGATCTTTTTTCTTTCACTTACATATTTTATAAGTTGCTTTATATTTAAAAAATTTTGTGGGGTGGAAAACACGATACAGTAACTACCCACTAACAGTATTTTTAAACAGAACGAATGTAACAAGATTATTATGAGCCAACGGAATCTTTCAAATCCAGTTCCATGCTTTGGTAAAACTCTTCAGCAATTTGTTGCATTTTTTTTCAAACAATTTACCACACAGTATTTAGGAATGTCCAGAAAGTGAGCAGCAGCAATAGCCTGAGTGGCAAGGGATCCTGCAAAGCCATCACTTTAGATGTTTAGTTTGAGTTAATAAGGGACATTGAGGCTGGCAAAAAGATGATTGCCACTAGTAGAGTTTACAACTATCTCTGTTGACTTGGACAAATACAGTAAGTTTTGTTAATTGTTGCCTAAGTATTACAGTGTACTGTACTGTACTGTACTGCATTTTCAGTTTTTATGCATGCACATATTTAAGTTGTGCTGCAAAGTGTCATTTTATTACGTGATAAAGTAGTCGTTAGGTACCATAAATATGATATAATTTAAATATTATAAGTCCCTTGCAAGATTTTACTTCACTGAAGCTTTGTCAACCTCAGGGATGTCATCATAGGCTGGACAGTGAAGACTTGACTTGTGACAGCAATTGATTTTCAAAAATAAATGATAAACAAGGGTAACTAAAAATTGGTCATAAGCTGCACATGAAAAAATCTTTGACACAAATATATATATATATATATATATATATATATATATATATATATATATATATATATATATATATATATATATGCCAATCAGATCAGAAAAGTCTGGGATGACCAAATGTAACCAAATTCTACCTGCTAAACAGCTTTGGTAATACTGTATACAGTATGTGTTAAGCATGGTAATTTCTAAACCTAAGCTGCTCTAAGCATTAGTGGCTGGACAGTGTCTACTGATTTGATCTGCCTTTGAAACAAAATTGTCTAACCTGAACAAGAAGAACTGAAAAAAAAAAAAAATTATATATATATATATATATATATATATATATATATATATATATATATATATATTGTGCAGGAATGACAGTACAGTACATGTAAAAATCTTTCAAATCTATTACAGTATTGTATTAGTATCAAAGTACTGTACCTGTATTGCAATAATTGTGAACGATGAAAACAAAACTTCCCCAGCCAACGCCTCGTGGTCTAAGATCGGCCATTAGTGCTGCCTAACAAAGCGGAGGTCAACTATCAAGCCACGCCTAGCCCCGCTATATAAGACCTCACCTCGCCGTGACCTGCCCCTTCTACCTACAGTCATGCAGCAAGCAACACCTCCTCTGAGCACGCTCCCGAACCAGCTCTCTCTACTCCACGCTTGTAACCACGCTGCCTTCCCAGCACCAAGCTGCACTGTACATCCAATACAATATATATACAGAGAGCACATTGTGAGTTTCCTTTCTCCATCCCATCCTGAGTGTGAACCAAACATCCTATTACCCTGTGGGGTATGGGATGTTTGTTCGGACTCAAAAATCACGATGTGCTCTCTGTATACATGTTGTATTGGATGTACAATGCAGCTTGGTGCTGGGAAGGCAGCATGGTTACAAGCGTGATGTAGAGAGAGCTGGTTGGTGAGGATGCTCAGAGGACAGCTTGTGGGTCGCCATGCTCGCCGGCTGGAGCGAGGACCGCCACGCAGGCGGAGGAGGAGGTGGTGTTGCTGGCTGGTTGGTGTAGGTAGAAAGAGAGAGATCACCACGAGGTCAGGTCTTAAATAGCGGGGGTTGGCGTGGCTTAGTAGTTGTCCCCCGCTCCGTGGGCGGCGCTGGTTGACCTAGACCACGAGGCACACACTGTGGAATTCGCGGGGTCGGCTATGCAGCGACAAACAGCGTTTGTAGGGGAGAAATCCACTACAACCCCACAATATCTCACACTCAGGATTGAGGTAGGATAGAAACTCACAATGCGTTTTCTGTATATAAATGTATATTGTTGTACAGTGCAGTGCTAAGGAGTTACTAGGTGATGAGTAGTTTGCTCAGAGGTCTTGTTGGCGAGGAGCTTTCTGGGGGAGCTGATTGGTGAGGCGCTGTAGAGAGATGTTGCTGGTCCAGACGGTCAGAATAGAATGACTACCCCGGCCAGCCTGTTCCGTATTTATGTGATTCTGCCGCATCAGGAATCGAGGCGCAAGTAGCGCGAGAGCCAATCACGGGGTAGAACGCGAAAGGTGTGAAACTCTCTGATCTTGAGGTGGAAGGTCAAGACTAGGTTGGCGATCATACCCCTACGTCCACACCATAGACCTAGTCTCTCGGCGTAGCTGGCTGTACGCTGATTGGCTGGTAAGTGCGCGGCAGGAGCTCAGTCGGTAGTTGTAGGGGAGAGGATCCACTACAACCTTATCTAAGTTAACATTTTATTACTAAAATCAATTAGGGTGATAAGTTAGTCAGTAGATCATAGATATAGTTGAAAAATCATTAGGTTAAGTTCAAAATTGGTCAAATGGCCTCTAATATCAGTCCCTGACAGTTTAAAATACTCCAACCCTAATGGTTTATGGACTTAATTGGAAATAAGCGTTTAACATTTAATTGGGGTATCAACTGACTGCAATTATTTTATTGCATCCTTACACTGTTTATGTGCAGTGCAAGTTGAACTAATATGACATTGTGAATGATTTTACTGAATATGTATGTATGTATGAGTTTAGTGCATCATCTTTCTACCTACGTTGGGTTTCGTTGGGTCCTGTCAAGACTGAGGCCCCGACGACTTGCAGCCATTAGATTTAATATAAATTGTGTGAGGATGTTCAGGTGACAGCGGAGTCTGTCTAATGTTACGAGAGGACCTCTGTGGTGACAGGAACTCAATGTGTTGTATTGATCAGTATGATAACATGACTCAAGGCCGAGTGTTGAAAGCTGGCGATCATGTGGCTGGCGGACTAGCATACATTATCTTTACCTCACTCGCGTTCTTGTGTTGCGACATCATAAGCTATCCTTAAGTCCTAACGCGTCGGAGAGATGAGGGGGGAGGGGGTTAACTGGCTAAGTGCCCCTCCTTTTAGTGTAAGTCTGATTTAAACATAAAAATTTTGACACAGTCTTAATCTAATATAACCATCAGCAATGAGCTCCATTCCTGATGACCTTAGTAGCTACAAGGTTAGGTTGAGGACTGTTAGGACTGGGGCCCACTTGACATGCAACTGGTTTAATCTGTCATTCAACCTTGAGGCGTGATGGTAAGGTGGGACTGAGAATTGTCTTATGATTACCAAGTACTGTATGTTTGGTCCCATTTTTAGCCAACAACCCTTAATTACGATTATTTAACGGAACAATCACCAGGACTGTTCAGAATCCCTGTATTGTTCTTGATAGCCTTGTCAAAGGCTATTTTTAAGTCCAGTGTTGTCTTGATTCCACTACTCGAGTTGGTAGACTGTTCCATAAGTCTACCACCCTCTGTGGGACGAAGTACACCGCGTCCTTTTATTTCTCCTGCATAACATTTTAGCACCTTGAAGTTGTGTCCCCTCGTATTGGTGGCGTTTGAAAGCACGAAAAAATGGCCTGGGCTCACATTTCCATTCCATATCTCTGCGATCCACTCCACTGTGGGTTGTCTAAAGAAGTGTTATTACGAGAATGATTAAACAAACTTGGGACCTTTCTTATTCTTAATAAAATTGTATAATTTCATCCCGAAGAGCCGTTTAGCTAATCAAGTTTCCTGATTGGCCACATTTAGGGCTCTTGTATACTACATACGAGTAGTCCGCATGATGTTTTGTGCTCTGGTATTTCTTGCATGGGTATTTTCTTTTGATAACTTTCATGAATCTGTGAGTCATTCACCAGGTTTTATTCTCTCTCATCCATGATTTCCGAGATACACATTCATCTGCAGTTGTCTCAAGGATTTTCGATTTCCATACATTTTTGCCGTGATTCGTCTGTCTGATCTTTATGTTGTCCCTCATGAGCTGGTAATCACCATGGTTGAAATAATAGTCATCCTTATTTGACTACTCTCTCCCGACTTTCAAATATTGTACTGTATTCCACTAAGTACTGTATGTAGTGGTCACTGGCCGGAGTTAGTTTTTCCCTGACGTAGACCTCTCGTTTTTGTAATTGTAAAATATTCGATGACTGGTGTATCCAATGTATTTAAGTGCTTCAACAGCGGTACCGTGCTAATCGGCGATGCAGATTAATTAATGTACCCTAATTTCATTGAAGAATAGCGAATGATGAAGGTAGGCAAATCAGAAGGCACATAGAAGATTCGAAGTACAAAATTATTATTGGTATTCTTGTGAAGTAGGAAAAGCCACGTGAAGGTGACCCTCTACGATATGGCATTGCAACAGCACTGCATAATGGCCACCGTTGCAGAGTTCATGTAAACTGCAGCGACTTCATTATTCATGAATCATCCTCATCGAGAACGAGAATTGACATAAAAAACTGCCGTGTCAACTGCATAAGCCTCGCCTGCAAAGACGTTCACCTACGATAATTATGCTATGCAGCTATAGCTGAGGGGCACACGACTAGACTTTCATTGACTACCTAGTCAGATTTTAATACGATTTATCCTTTAATTTCGTAAATACAAAATAAGATAATTTTTATGCTGAATAAATCTTCTTATAATCCAAAATAAATTTATTTGATATCTTAAATGAAATAAATGAGAGAGTATGTAAAAATTTATACTAAATAGATGTATAGATAACTCATTTATATTGACTCACTTTCTTATCATTGTGTCGGTCGTTGATATAATACAAAGAGACTTTTCAAAGTTTATTAAATTCGACAGTAAATACAAATTATCGATCATATAATTTAAAATTTACTACCTTTTGATATATTAATTAAATCAATTACATATGCGGATATTTTATATTTGAACGGTGAAAGAAAAACAAAACGAAAGTAAAATGAAATCCGGCCGATAATTATAGTGTGTTGAGCGGGTGCTGGCGTGTGAGCCTGGCGGAGGGCGAGCGAGGCGACCCGGTATTGATCGCCACTGTCGCCGCCACAGTCGAGCAGCAGCCAGCCACGATGGGGGACAACAACGGTCTCTACAAAAACATTGCGGATCGCGATAACAGTTTTAAGAAGTTCTTATGGAATTCCGATACCAAACAATTCCTGGGCCGTACCGGAGCATCATGGTGTAAGTATCAAACCAGAGTTATGGGTTAAGGTATACCTGGAAATCGATATCATGGGGAAAATTTGTATGAGGGAAGACTTCCATTGATGGCAGGTAGACCTTAGTGTGTGGTGGCCAGGTGCGAACTAAGGTGTGTGATGGATACTGCGGATATATGCACCTGTGGTGGCCGGGTCAGGCATGCGCTGTGGTAGGGTCAGAGTAATGTTGGGGGGTGCCGCATTGACCGGGGGTGTGGCCCTAACAGTCTCGCACACAGTCGCCCCCAGACCATCACCCACCACACAGTCAAAATGGTAGACGAAGACAAGGAAAGGCTCAGGCTCTACACGGGCCAAGACAAGACTTTAAAGAAGTTTTTGTGGAATTCTGAAACTAGACAGTTTCTTGGTCGTACAGGAGGGTCATGGTGTGAGTATTAAAGGGTTTTTCATGCTGGTCATTGCACTCTACGTTGTTATATTCTCCAGAAATGTTATGTTTATATCGTTAGCTATCAAACGACTATCTTGTCGTTAACTTCTCAGGTGGGTATACTGGTGTAAAATCGTGTCGCAGCATCCGTAACACAGGTGACCAGTTATTTTTTGTTTGAGATATTCGTGTTTCCCCAGTTCAAGGATATTTAGCTTGTCTCATTAGATCGGGTCAAGTCGTTTCTGAGTTTCTGCCACAGAAATACATTGACTACGGTTTGAGATTTAATCGAACTAATAAAACATTTTAACCTGGGATTATGAATCTCCACCTGGCAATTACATAATTTTTCAACCAATCATGTGAAGTAGTGGTGTTGGCCAGTTGGGGCATTTTTCTGACCAATATGTAATCAGTCTGATAAACTTGAGGAGTACAGTAAGTGACTCGATGTACAGGTATATATATATACAGTACATACTGCGATTCTATTTACTTTGATCTGAAGAATTGATAAGTACTGTACTTTTGGAAGTTAATACAGTATGTATTGTTGGCCTAAAGTTAACATGAACCGTAGACAAAAGTAAATACGTATGTCGAGCAAAATTTGGTATGTGCAGTACTTTGGGCTAAAAGTTAATTACGGTCAATAGCTACTCGGGAATGGGGGCACGGGTTAACCAATAACTTAAGAAATTTGTTATATAGATTATAACTGCAGGTATCCCTCATACGGATGGGTTAGGTTCCTTGAAAACAATTCGTTAAGTGAATAGTCATGTCTAATAATATAACTTATTTGAAAAAATTGGTTCAGTTCCCAATGACAAGAAAATCCCAATATTGTACAGTACCAACAATTACTGTACAAAATCGGTTCACAGAAAACAAAATTCTTACCAAACTACTGTACTGTACTATAATTTAGCACTGTACCTAACACATTAGAAAATTAATAAAATAGAAATTGTACTATACCTAAAGGCACCATATTTGTGAGAAAAGCTTTTGTTTAGTGAGAAAGTTTGAATAGAATATTCGTTTGAGCTTTGTAGAATTAACTGTATAGCGAGGGATACTTGTACTGTACTACAGTATTTTCTTACCTCAAGACCATTCCCAAGAATTATAAGAATTTAGCTAAATATCTTTCTCGTAAAAAATGGTCATGCCAACGATTATGAATAAACTCATTTAGAAATACATCATTACTTCAGGACAAAATCGAACAGATTTGCAACAGCCAATCAGCTGTAACTCTTGAGGAGGGGGCGGGGCATCTTTTCTCAGCTGAGAAAAAAAGCACTATAGTGAACAGTACTGTACCCATGTTAAATGGAAATAAGGATTATATCTTTAATAACCTTTTGAATGGAGCATTCCAACTACTGTAGTGTCTTGGTTGACAATCTGTTTTTCTTTTTTAGATTATCTAATTTATTTAGCATTTTCACCACTTATCAGCTTACTAACCATTCAGGCAGTTGGTCTATCCAGTATTATTATAAGAGGAAACGAGAGTCCTGGGAACCTGTGGTGTCTGGTAAGGGCTCACTGGATAACACCCTTATCACATGTATCCAGACTCAGGCTTGAACCCTTGATATATTGGTATGAGATATGCCCATTACTGCTGTACCACCAACAGTTAGTAAACCTTTTATGTTGTGCATGGGAGAGAACCTTTGACTCCCCAGCCTCCACCATCCAGCTCCTACTCTAAAAAAATTGTCAATCCCAACTCTTCTCCCAATAGTCAGGATTTGAACTTGAGTTCTGTACTCAGGGTTGGCATCAAAGTCTTGACCACTGGTCAGGAATACTGTATTAAAAGTGGGTGTCATGTGCCTGACAAGGGTGTTAGTTTGGCATCTAAGGTAATGTTAAGTACAGTACTGTAACGCATGAGATTGGAATAAGGGCCGTGTGTTCTTCAGTGACTTAAACCTACTGCATACAGGTACAGAGAGATTGTCTTAATTATGGATTGAGTTTCATATTTAGCTTCACAAGGGTAGTTCACATGTCTTTTAACTAAATGTTATTGAAATAAGTGTTATACAGTAATGAATATTATCATAAACAATAAAATTTCTCTTTGGTTTTGAACTTCGTCAGCTTTAAATGTTGAAAGAGTAGCCTGTAGACCATCGTCTTAGTTTTTGTGTGTCTTGTTGTTGTAGGATTAATTAAAGTACTGTACAGTGAAAATTACCCTGCAGTGGTCATCAAGTGCAGATTAGGAGCTCCCAATGTAATGCTGGACTGGGGGTTGCCATTTATCCACTTGAACAAAGGTGCTCATTATTGGTCAGGATAAACAGGATGTCCTTCATGACTGTTCTTGTTACCTCCTGTTTCTTTAGGTTTAAGGTTGTCTTTCAGGATGTAAGAAAGGGAGTTTGTATCAAATGTTTCTGTACTAAGCTTTCTGCAAGTGGCTCTGACTTGGGGTTTGTTCTTTGTGATGGTGGGCTATGGTTTATCTAAACCCTGAACTAGGGGTCATCTCCCCTCGCCTTGACTTGGGGAAGACAATGTATGAAACAGTTTCCCACCACTGTTTTGGAATTTGAACGCTTCCTCAGTTGTGCATCACATGTGACCTGTAGACGTGAATAGTTTTTAGTGGAACATTACAGTACTGTACTGTACTTAAGACTACAGTATTTTCAGTTATAAAAATTTTTAAAATAAATTTTTCATAATCTCTTTAGTGTTTAATTGGAAATGGAGTATGTTAGATCAATACACAGTATACAGGTACTGTACAGTGCTGGTTGATTCTATTTGTTAAGTGATGTTAATTTTTGTTATTGGTTTACAAGGTTTATAGTAATTTAAGTACAGTACAGTACAGTACTGTATTGTGTGTTTCGGGAGAGATTTGTACAGTATTGTAGTTCGATAATAATATTTAACTCTGGCATTTAAGGATTTTGGACTTTCAGAATTCCTGTTAAACTGTGGTTTGATTTTGTATGAATAAACTTGATTTCATTGCATTTGTACTTAGGCATATATATACAGTACAGTAGTTTTATACCTTCCTGTTAAGGTTTAAAAATCCTCGAGCTGTTATACATATTATTGGAGTGCCCCGTTGGAGGCTGAATATGCCGTAAGTACATTTGGGAGCTTCCAGACTGAATGTACTATACTGTATTGAGTAGTAATGCGGAGATAAGCGAGATAAGATATATTGTTATTACATAATCTGGTCTTGGGTTATGTATTGCTACTGGGGGCTACAAAAATTTCTGCACCAGGATTAACTTAAGAGATTTGTTGTGGATAATGTAAATTCAGACTGTTTTACAAGACATTGGGTGAAGGGGTTAGGAGATGGTTTTCTCTTTTAAAATTTCCTTGGCATCAGTGTCCTGGTTTCAAAAGGATCAGTGTGTCAGAAGTTATAACAAGTAGTTACTTTGCAATACTGTATTAGGAGGTAACATATCTTGCTTTATACTGAAAAGTTACGTATCTCATTCCCTTCCTTCCATTCCACATGTTCTAAATCTCCCTCATTATTTTAACCTCTCCTACCTTACCCACACATATTCATCATTCTCTTTGTTTCCTCTACACACTATTTCTCACTCATGCCATTTACATAACTCTTACTCGTGTCCATCTTTCCCCTCACACTCCTTACTTCAGTCTCTACACTCCCATCACTCACCACTCCCATCATTTAATCCATAATCAAACACATCATCCACAAAACCACAAATGAGATAAAAAAAGGAGACCAGCAGTCTACCCCACCTAGTTGCCGGCTTGGGTCACCATATCGATAAATTGACCCGTGGCTCCCTTCCCCACCCACCCTCCCACAGGCACAAACCAGTCTGGTTTGACACGCAACCAGCCCAGTTCGCATACAGATTTTCCTCCAATAATTTTATAAAAACATGAGTTATACAGCGGTAGTATAATTTACCTTAGCACTGTATCCTATTTGTAGTTTCTGAGATTTCCGTAATGCTCTTCTCAATAGAGTATCGTCATTGAATGTTACTTTGTATTACTATATCTGAGAAAACAAATCGTGTAGGCTATGATAGTTTACACTATTGCTTTCACATATCCTTTAGTATAATACAATTGAATAAAGTTTAGCATGACAACGCTAACAGACTGACTTGTTGGAGAGTAGAAAGTTGCCTCATGACCAAAGAACTGAGCCATAGTTGAAAGAATTCCTATGATTCATATTCGTAACTAAAAGTGCAAAAATAGACCAGGGATTTACTTTAGTTGAAGCACATAAAATAGTCTTGAATTTGTACTCGACTTATGTTAAGTTCACTTGGTGTTTTTTAAGTGGCGAAATGAACATAGATTTTTTGAAATATACTGTACTGTATGTTATTTATTTGCTTAAGTAAACTCAGCCTGTTAGGTGCATTCTTGCATTGTCCTTTACAAGGAATATTCATCGTATGAATCTTTGGTAATCGGAGCCCTGCTCTAGAAGTCAAGACTTTCAGAATTGCTCAAGGATCTTAGTAATGTCTTGCATCATGGTTGACTGCTGTTCAAGGATATACCTAGGTACAAGTCATAAAGACGGA